GCGACACTCGTGCCTATCAAACGGTCGTCCGACGTTTTAACGACCTCCCATAGTTGGGGCTATGAGGAAAGTATTACATGGCGATTGATGGACACATCACAACTTCATTACACAACGTAAGCTAGAGTAAAATCGGTCGGTGCGAAGTAAGTCAGCTTTGGCCGAGAACACGCTTGATGACGCAAAACATAAAAACGTGCGATTAATGTATTTATTTATAAAATCAAGTTTCATTTAATTTCTAGATACGTTGACTAAATAAATAAAAATACTAGAGATCGCATCGGCCTATGAAAGGGTTCTGTCGTCCAGTTTCCTCAGAGACATGGACGAGAGCTGAAAAGAAAACTGATTATTTTCAGTGACCTGCAAATGGCGACACGAGAGTTGTGTCAACGGGAGAAACTTTCGTACGACAAGTAAAAACAACCGAAATCTTCCGCCATAGACACGCCATAAAGGCAGACGTAGAATCTTCGGTATTTGATTTCTGGCCTTGTATCAACATGACATTACAAACTGTACCCTGAACAAGGGGTCACTGAGGTAATTTCCTAATTGTAGAGTCACTGAGATGCGCTAGCCTTTTTACTGCGCTTTTCCAGATGAAGGGACGTTGGAAAAAAATTATCTCTTTAATTCTCGCATAAAACAGGCGATATATAGAAAATAACCTGGTGCAAATATATGGAAGGAGTCTGTTCCAGACTCCAGCTGTCTTCTGCCGAATCTCAGACTCTGGCACAAGATTGGGAACTCGGAAGCACTGTCTGACGCGTCTACCTCCGTCCCCCCTCCCCCTCCCAATAGAAGAAGCGGTCAAGGAAGATGACGATGAACATGCAAAGAAAACCATACCGTCTATCGAAGGATCGACAGCAAACGAGCGCAAGTCTAGGACTGTTGCCAAAAAAGGCATGGTCGATGCTTTCGCTTGCCAGCAGCTGTTGTAGCTGCTGAAGTTTCCCATGGCACGGTCTTTAGCCAAAACTTGATAGATCTGTTTAAGTTGTCAACAAGTTATTTCGGTTACAAACTTTGATGGAACGATTCAGACTGTTGTCGTGAGCATGGCATTCTCCGGGTGCAACACAGCCGCGAAAGTCGGCCTCCTGCCTAACGCACAGAAATCGAAATTTTTGCGTATTCGTAACCGACATTGCAGAACAAGGGAGGGGGGGGCAAAACGACAGAAGAGCTTGAGCAATTTAACTATCTCGTTTTCATCATCTACGACGACCAGACGATCCATTCGGAGTCAAATATAAGGATCGCACTCAACCCTTGTGCACAGGTAACGTATTAAAT